AAGATTTTGGTCTGTTTTGTTTACTATGCACAGTAGGTGCTCAATAAATATTTGTTGAATGAACAAATATTTAGGAAATTTCTAATAGAAAACTTTTAGAAAATAGAAAAATTCAAATACTCTTAAGAGCTGGTTCCCTAAATTTCTGGCAGGCTTACTTTAAAAAAGGATAAAAACAACATATGTACACAATTAAGAATTGAGGTTATATTACAGGTAAAAGAAGATTTTTTAAATTATAAGAAAATATACTATATAACTTATGGTAATGAATTCTAAATCACATTGAATTTTCAGTATTAACTCAGTAAGTGAAAACCCAAATAGCTTGATAATAATTGGAAAAAATTAATAAAAAAAACTTCCAAGACTAGATAGTTTCATTGGCAAGAAATTCAGATGTTGAAGGAAAAGAAAATTTCCTATTGAAACTGTTGAAACTGTTCAGGATACAGAAAAAGGCTAAAAGTTTCCCAGTTCATTTGATCAAACTAGCATCTCCTACCAAAACACAAAGGGTATCGCTTAGAACTAGTTAAAAATATCTCAGGAAAAATTATAGAAAATCGAGATCAACAATGTGTTAAAGTGAGAACACACCATCATCAAGTAAAATTAGTTCCAGGAGTTTAAGAACAATTGATTTAACATTAGGGTATCCATTAATATAATTTACCACAGTTTGTCGGTATTTCGGACACTAAAAAGGCATCTATCTGATAAAAAGCAAACACCCATTTCTTTACAAGAAAAAAGACAACTGTTGATAGACAAGGACTAGAAAATTCTTGTCTTTTAATGTAAAGAACAGTCAACATCACATACACACCAGTGTAGGACTGTTATCTCTTAAGTATTTTCCTTTGACTATATAGTAAACCCATTAGAGTACATTCCAAATATGTATTTCCCCCAGTTCTGAGGACCATCTCAAGCTCTCAGGCAGTGAAAACTAGTTCATTGTATTGTTGAGGTGAGCATATTATACTATATATATATCATCCAACCCGGGGGACTTTTTTTTTTTGGATGGCTTGCCGCCCAGGAATCAAACCCTGGACCTTGGTGTTATCAGCACCGTGCTCTAACCAAGTGAGCTAAGTGGTCAGCCCTAAACCAGGAAGCTTTCGAATGTGAAAGAAAGTGCTGTTAATAATTTTGCTAAGAGGACAGGCAGAAACGGGGACCATCCTGGCAAAGTGGGATGTCTGGTCATCCTGTCTCTCGAGTATTTGCATGCTGTACCCCACACACTCTAATCTAAAGGGGGCTCTTCTGAATTTGTTTGGCACTGTGTGTCCCCTGCTGCACTACAGCCTTCTCTGTTTTCTTCTGTGGTAGAGGAAGGTTTACTCCATACTTGCTGACAAAATGAGTGCAAATGGTAGCGATGGAGTTCCTGCAAAGAAACAAGAGTATCTTGTACAGGCCGGCTGCCAAAAAGAAAAATAAACAAAGAAGAAAAGAAACAAGAGTATCTTGCTGGTTGTTAAAATGGAAGGAAGTGGTCAAAAACACTAGAGTGTAGTAAATAAGTAGTAAGGGTTTGGTGAAGTCTTTTACTTTATGAAGGGCCTTCTGAACTTCACTGTAGCCAGGGTTGACTAATGATTGGATGTTTGGTAGGAGGATGAAAGAAATTATGGCTAGAAGTGTTACTGGACAATGGGGGTCCGTTCCTCAGCGAGTGCAAAACTGCCAAGACCAGGGTAGGAGGAAAAAGGCTTTATTACTTGCAAGGAAGGAGGATGCTGGGGATTGTTCCTAAAGCAGTGTCTCCCCGAACAAGGGAAAGGGGTCATCTTATATAGCCTAAGTTCCCACCTAACTTCCCGCCCAAGTTCTCATGGAGGCCCTCTCATGTAAGCGAAGGATATGAGCTTGTTCAGTCTGCATTGGTTGCCTGTGGGACATAGTTCACTAGCCCGTTCTGAAGCCAAATTTGCATTTGGGCCTGGGAAGGAATATGAGCTTTGGACAACAGCAGGACCTCAGAAAGGTGTCACACAGGCTAAACCTTGAGCCCTTGGCTAGTACAGGTTACAGTCCATAGGTGGTGAGTTCAGACTTCCTGCCATGGCTGAGTCATGACATAAAGCAGGGACAAGTAGATGTGGAGATCTTTGCTCCTCCTCGGGCAGAGATTCACCAAAGTTTCGTCTCTGGGACCTGTATTTCTATTTCAGGCAATATATTTTGAGAGCAGTCTAGTATTTCATTGTTTGGCTTCCTGTCACCTCCTGCAAGAACAGAAACTCTAAACAAAGGGTCATGACCAGTTCCCTTCCTGTTTTGGACCTTTTAGCAGCAATGAGTGCGTGGGCCTTCAGGAGACCCTGGACCGTGGGTTACAGAGGCTCCTCAAGCCTTCCGAGAATTTGAAAAGGAAAACCATATCCTTGTATTTGGTGTAGAGAAACCATCTCCACTGGGGTCAGGCTTTAATCATCCTAAAAGCATTAAAAGTAAAAATATTTGCATTTCCAGGAACCTGTTAACCTATTAATAATGTTTGCCTCCGCCATTACACTGGCTATGGGAATTCTTAACAGTACAGCACACTAGAGGCATTCTCATTGTATTAAGTAACAAGACAGTCACACTGCTATCACCACAATTTAACTTCTTCTGAAACTTCCAGCCAGTATAGTTAGATCCAAAACTGAAATAAGAAATGCTTTAGAAAGTAGAAAAAATATTAATTGTAGGTGATATGTTTAGCTATCCAGAAATCACAGGAAAAAAGTATTGTATGTTTTCTGAGTTATAGAAACTATTTTAAATCAATGGTTTTCCTATACCAATAATAACCATTTAGAAAATAGGAAGAAGGGGCCGGCCCGGTGGCGCACTGCTATAGTGCGCCGCTTGGGAAGCGCGGCGGCGCTCCCGCCGAGGGTTCGGATCCCACATACAGACCGGTTCCTGCTCACTGGCTGAGTGAGGCGCGGGAGCAACACCGAGGGCTGCGATCCCATTGCCGGTCCTGGTCCGGTACGGGGGCGACACTGAGGGTTGCGATCCGTTGCCGGACACGGAAAAAGACAAAAAAAAAAAAAAAAAGAAAATAGGAAGAAAATCCTATTTAGAATAGCAACAAGAATTATAAAATAGACAAGGAATAAATTTACCAAAACGTGCAGATCTTTATGAAGAAAATCCTAAAACTTTGCTAGTAAAAATTTTTATTTAATTACTAGAAGTACATTCCATGTTCCTAAGTAGGAAGACTACATATTGTGAACCATCCTTTTATCTTTCAAACTAATTTTAAGGTTTAATACAATTTTTTTTTTCCTTTTTGTCTTTTTTTTTTCGTGACCGGCAACGGGATCGCAACCCTCGGTGTTGCGCCCACACCGCGCTCAACCAGTGAGCGGACTGGTCTCTATATGGGATCCGAACCCTCGGTGGGAGCGCCACTGCGCTCTCAAGCACCGCACTCTACCGAGTGTGCCACCGGGCTGGCCCACAAATTTTAATCAAAACCCAGTATAATTTTTTTTTTTTTTTTTCTGACTGGTAAGGCGATTACAACCCTTGGCACGGTGTGGTCTGCACCACGCTCAGCCAGTGAGCGCACCGGCCATCCCTATATAGGATCTGAACCCACAGCCTCAGCGCTACCAGCGCCGCACTCTCCTGAGTGAGCCACGGGACTGGCCCCCAGTATAATTTTTTTTTGAGAGGTGTGAGGAGTGTGGAGAGATGAGGCTTGATCAAATGTCTATGAAATTCAAATGGAAAAAAAAGGATAGGCTGATTTGAAGCAGAAGAATAACTGTTTTGCCAGATTATAAAAATTTCCTGTAATGATAAAAAAATAGTGTGATACAGGAGTGCCAAAGGATAGACAGAAAACTCAAAAAACAAACACTATTATGTATATAAGAATTTAGTGAATGATAGATATGACAACAAAATCAGTAGAAAATGATTATTTAGTTAACAGCCGGGACAGCTCCTTTCCTGTTTTAGATTGTAACACTGAATGCTGTTTATCAAATCAGTTGCAGATGGAGAAAAATTAAGATGTGAAAAATGAAATGATTAAAGAAACTAGAATAGGCTGGCTGACTAGTCCAGTTGGTTTGAGCATGGTGTTTTAACACCAAGGTCAAGGGTTAGATCCCTATACTGGCCAGCTGCCCCTCCCCCCCCCAAAAAAGAAAGAAATTATAACAACATATAACTAGAAAAGGACTTTATTCATAAAAGCAATGAAAGAAGTCTCAAAGGGAATGATAAACTTGACTACATAAAAGTTAAAACTTGCTGTGTATTTTTTAAAAAGTAAACAATATTAGAAGACGAATTATAAACTATAAGATAATACTTGGAACAAATTTATATTTTTCATTTTATTCCTACAAATCAAGAAGTACTAACAATGAAAAATATGCAAAGGCCATGAACAATGAAATCATAGAAGTAGTACAGGTAGGTAGTCAATAAATATATGAAAAAAATGCGATTTTCTTTTTGTTAAAAATCAGCGTTATATAGTTCTAGTATCTGAGAAATGGTATTCACAAACCAGTCATGCGTAGTTTTCTTTATTATTCACTTATTCCCTAGTCTAATTGGAATGTCTTGTGTTCCTTTATAAAATCTTTTCTATTTATTTCTCATGATGGGATTTTGGAATATTTCCTTAAGAATATATTTATATACACACATTCTATAAATAGTAATACTTAAATGTTTTAATAAGACATATGGAGGACCAGAGCTAGTATTTATTGAATACTTGCTATGTGCTGAACAATGGGCTAGGTGTGTACTTTGCATATGTTATTTTATTCAGTCCTAACCAGCACTCTGAAACTGAAACTAAGGCCCAGCGTATTTAAGAATCTTTAGAGGCCACATCACTTACCTGGTACACAGCCAAGCTGGAATTTGACTCGAGATCTGTCTTACCTGAGTCTATTATTACACTGCCTCCTCTGATTTTTGTGTACATCTGTGGAATAAATGTCTCTTGCTTTTCTTTCCAGTTTTTCCCAAATGGATATGCCTTTGCCACTGGCTCTGATGATGCCACTTGCCGGCTCTTTGACCTTCGTGCAGACCAAGAGCTATTATTGTATTCACATGATAATATCATCTGTGGAATCACTTCTGTAGCCTTCTCAAAAAGTGGGCGCCTCCTGTTAGCTGGTTATGATGACTTTAATTGCAATGTATGGGACACACTAAAAGGAGATCGTGCAGGTTAGTAAATAAGTCCACATGAGGTTCCAAATTCCAGGAAGCATGAAGAGGTTCCCATCAGTAGTTTTCCAGGCCTCCATGGACATCCTGGAGATGTGGAAAATGGGAACCCGGTGGTTCTCATTCTTTTTTATTGTTATTACCCTTTGAGTGCATTTACTGTCCATAAACCATAATTATATTTCTGTTTTCTGGAGAATAATACTTAATTCTATAATATTTTTCTGGTTTGGTAAGTTTTGATATAAAGAAGCATAGTGAATATGACTCAGTGTGGTCTTTTACAAATCACAGTTTTCTTATAACTTGACAGGAAACATTGTAACTACTGTGGATTGTCTTCTGGAGCAGATCTTGTGTGAGACAGGACATAGACCCACTCATTGTCTTCTCTTAGCCCCATACTCTGAGTTCTCTCCTGTGGGTTCCAAAATATTAGAATACACATTAAGTCATACTGAGGACTGTCTTAATAACAAATTACACAGAGTGATTTTTAAGTTTTTTAAAAATCAAAATTATACTTATGGAATCAAATAGTTCTGTATGGCTTGTTACCAAAACACAGCAGTCCTCTGACCCCAGTTCATATTTTCTGCTCCCCAAAGTAGCTACTTTTAATTATTTATACCGATATCTTTAAATAACATGCCTGCATTGCTGTTATTTGATTATTATTATTATTTTTTTTAAGTTTTAGGCATTATCTATTCTTGACCTATTGTCATTGGGTGGTGAGGGATTAGCTTTAACATTTCTGCTCCCACCACAGCTATCCTTCCCATCTCCAACTTTTCCATACAGTCAGTTTTGTTTACAGTAACATCGTTTACATTGTGCAATGAGGTATGCTATGACTTCTTTTTGCTATGCAGCTTTGTAATATTCTCTAGAGTTATTTTTTTAGTTTATATTCTCAGTGAATCCTCATGCTTCCAGTTTTAATATGTCTTGGAGTGGGTCCATTTTCATCCATTGTGCTGGGTATTCAGTGGGCCTTTTTGATCTGGAAACTTATATCCTATCATACTGAGAAATTTGGGGGGCTTTTTTGCTTATATTTCTCCTCCATTATTATCATTCTGTCTTTCTAGAACTCCCGTCATGTTGATGTTGGACCTTCAGAACTGGTCTTTTGAATTTCAAAAATTATATTCTCGTCTGTTTTTCATCTCTGTGTTTTTTCTGCTTTATGTTCTTGGAGAAATCCTTACCCTGTTTTTCAACCTGTTTAGTTTTGGTTTTCATTTTTGCTACCATCTTTTTAATTTGAGAACTATTTTGGTCTCTATGTTTTATGGCACCCATGCTTTTTTTCACGAATGAAGTCTTTTTTCTCTGAGGTTATTAGTGAAAGAATATTTTTTAAAGTTTTCTTTTTCAAGCATAATGTCTTGTGTTTCCAAGTCATTTTTTTCCTCCTGTACTTTTTTAGTCCTCTGTCCTTATTTTTAGAATATTTTCTTAAAGTCTGGTGATTCTTTTTTTTTTTTGTCCTTTTTGAGACCGGCCGCACCGCGCTCAACCAGTGAGCACTTTGAGCGCAATGGTCATCCCTATATAGGATCCGAACCTGTGGCGGGAGCGCTGCTGCGCTCCTAGCGCCGCACTCTCCCGAGTACGCCACGGGCTCGGCCCGAGTCTGGTGATTCTTATCTTCTTATTTATACATAAGAGTTGTGGCGGGAGCGCTGCTGCGCTCCTAGCGCCGCACTCTCCTGAGTACGCCACGGGCTCGGCCCGAGTCTGGTGATTCTTATCTTCTTATTTATACATAAGAGTGAGGCACCAAAATTGTTTAAAGCTCTGTGCACATGGTTGGATGTACTGACTGTAGGCCTCCCTGAGGCCTCTGGTATGTCTTCTGTCCTTTTTTCCTTGGGCTAGCCATGTCCCCTGAGATGGATCTTCTACTTTGCTACTTGTAATATATAAGCTGACTGCTGGTTTGGGGACTGCTTTTAAGAGGAAAACTTGGGGCCACAACAATTAGCAAGTATACTTTCTTTATTCCCCCTCTTCAGCACAGTTTCACCAGTCTCAACTGTGACTGTTTTCCTCCAATCAAGAGACCTTATTTTACCCTCTCTAGTGAATAAGTTTCTAGGCTTAAGACATGGTGCATGACAATCAGTCATCTGACTCTGCACAGCAGAGGAAGATGAGACTTGGGGGAGTCTTACTGATTCTTGAACACTTTCTAATGCAAACATATTTTACCTTATATTTGCCCCTACCTGGTTCCTCTAGTATTGACCCTTTTGGAGGTTCTGCAGTGTAAGTTTTCTTGGCTTGCCAGATCATTCTTGGCAGCTGACCATTATGGGGATCCAAACCCTTGACCCCTTGGTGTTATCAGCACCGTGCTCCTAGTTTACAAAATGTTGTTGCCATTGCCTGCTTTCTTCTCACTGTCCTTGTAGGTTTATGTCCTCACCCTTTTAAACTCCTGTACAGTTGTTGGGGTCTCTGAGGAAATAGAGAGGCAATATCAACATTCCCAGGAATTATTTTCTACAGTCTCTCTTAAGAGACTGTATGGGTTCACAGTTCCACACTTCATAAATAGAATTTTGGAAGTGTTCTGTTGCCCGAAGCCAATTACCTTTTTAAGGTGTTAGATATTTTGCCTGGATTGAATCAGTTACTATCTATAATAAAACAAAAATGTGTTTGTTTTCCACATTGTTAACGTGCTTGAGTTTTAGTCTTGCTTTGCTTACAGCTGGTTTCAAGTTACATAACTGGAACTTTCACCTTAAAATTGAATACTGACTCTTGAATTGCTAATTCATTCTGCTCTCCAGTGTGATGTGTAGTATTTAGCCCCAGTGTTCATTTTCTGTTATTTCAACCCATAATGGTAAATTTGCCTATTGCCAAACATGGCCATACTGGAGGTACTATAGAAAACAAGAGTAGACAAGATGAACCTCTGTTCTTGAGATTGAGTGAAATGATGTGCTTAAATACAAAGAAGGATAATGCAGATTTAAACACAGTACATTAAAATATTCTTGAGAATTTGATATATTCTAATTTTTTCTTTTTAATTTTTATATTTCTTATTTTCTTCTGAAGTATTGGGAATATTTCATTTTATCCTGTGGTGATCAGGATATCAGGTGAATTTAATATGGAACAGAAACTAAAACTAGTTCAGTTTGGTGGTTTCAAAAAGTAATAACATTCCAGGGTTTGGTGGTTAACAGAAGAAAGTAAATAAATTATATTGGTATTTTTGGAAATAGTGATATAAGGCAACTTCTTATGTTTTTGTTATTCTTGTGGTAAAAGGCTACTTCATCGAACTTCATTTAAAATTTTGTTTATGTTGAAAACAGCTCAGTAGCAAAACTTGGAATATCAGGAATTTATTAGAGATGTGGAATAAACTACGGCTGTTTTCCTAGATGTAAGAAAGATGACATAAAAATTACTTTCTAAAAATTAAAGACAAATTGATGCACATGTCAAAAAGTCAAGTAATACAAGAAAGTGTATCTGATATACATGTCCAGCCTACCCCATATCTATCCCCCACTCAGAGGGACCTGTTAGTTTCTAAGCACCTTTCTAGATCTTTATGCATACACGTTTTTAATTCTAAAACTCTACAGTTGCTAACTTTTTACTGAACTTTTTTTTTCAGGTGTTCTTGCTGGTCATGACAATCGTGTCAGCTGTTTAGGTGTAACTGATGATGGCATGGCTGTGGCAACAGGTTCTTGGGACAGTTTTCTTAGAATCTGGAATTAACAGTGTCATATATTTCCTGTTCTCCAATGATATCTGGGGAAATAAATGCTACAGCCTATAGCTGTGAAAAAAAATTCTACCTTATATTTGCAGGTGAAGATTTTTCTATTGGGATTATTATGTATAAAAAGAAGCTTTCAGCAATCTACAAAAAAAAGTGAAAAAGAAAAAAAACCAAGGCAAAGGTGCCTGCTGAGATCAAAAGGACCAGTGAATTAATTTGAGGAGTTGGGTTAATTTAACCTTGATGAATTTTTGCTTGTACTCAGAGTCTAACAGTTATTTTCTTTGTGTAGAACAGAATGTACACATTATAGCAGCTTATCACAGTGTGTTTGCATTTTTTAAGAAATACATTTTAAAATTTGTATACACAAGAAATGTCACATTTTTGAATTTTGTAATGGAAGAACCAGGCACAGTAATATATGGAAGTGATACTATATGTGTGTGTACTTATGTTTGAAGAAAGTCCCCTTGAATTCTGACATTCCTTTTTAATCTAAAAGAAATCCTAATGGCTTAATGTTAGAATGTTGATAGGCTGGGTACCTCTGAGGAGGAGTCATTAGTTTCTTCTGAATCTTTTGCCATATTGTCAATCTAAATGAGTGCTTATTTTTAGTCCTTTGAAGTGACAAATAATCAGAAGGCCAGAGAAAAGAGATTTCACGCTGACATTTTAGACATGCATAAGAAAATTCATTAGAATTTATTATATTAATAAAAAGTAGATAATAATAGCATATAAGTGATTTTTGGTGCTTTAAAAGGCTGACTGTGATCAGTTGACACTTTGAGTAGCCCTCTATACAGTTGGACTTTCCTGTTCATTTCACATCCTGGAACTAAGTTTGTAGAGTGTACTCATATTTCAGAAGTTTCATAAACATTTGTTTGGATGGTCCCTGCTTCTAAAGACTCTTTCCCAGTGTGCTCTATCAATATATGTCTGGATAGGAAATATATAGTGTGACTGTGTTACATTTTTGAAAGAAGTGTCAAATCTAACCAATTGCTAGCACTCGTTTGTTATAATTGTAATAAGGTGACTTTATGAATTTTATGTTCATTAATATAAAATCTGAATTGATTTATAAAATGCCTTCAAATTTCTTAAATTGAAACATTTAAGGTTTTGCTCTTCTGTAATATTTCTAAGTGGATTTGCTACAAAGAATGCCTAGATCTGATCTATGTGACCCTACTTTAAAGCCAAAAGAAAAATTCCTAAAGCAGTTAAGGCAGTCAGAGAAATATACAATACACTAAGTAATTCCTCTACTTATTAATGGTATAATAAAGTGTCTATTACCAGAATGCCCACTGCAGTTTAAACAAATATACTTTTCCTCTTGGATTTTCTTTTACAAGTAACTCTAAATGATTGACAATAGAAGATGGTTAGTCTTGCTTAATGGTGAAGTCATGAGTTATTCTGATATGTAGAAGTGCATTGTGTTTTGTAATTTAGTAAACTGTAAGTTACTGTTAATATAGTTCTGTTAACTTTTGATTACCTATAACCCTAACCTACTACTCCCTAACTATTCAAATTTTACCTATAAATTTTCATTTTTATAATAATCTGCATCAACTATAATGAAGTTAGTATCGGTTTTGTTTATTAAGGTCAGTTGATGTTAGAAAGTGAATAAAGTGGTTAAAGGCAAGTTAAGATAAAGGACCAAAACAGAATATTGTAGATGGCAGGTATGAATGTATGTTTATATTTTGGTTAAAATTTCTATGAACTTATTGGTTATTAATCTTTATCTGTGGACTGATTATATTCATAAAGAACAGCTCTTTGAGATAAGTCCAGAATGTTCTAAAGGAACTTATTCATTTCAAAAGATGGGGGTGGGGGTGGTGGACATTTGCCATGCAGTTTAGCAATTCATTCCAAAATCCAGTTTAAGAAAGCACTTATTTCTGTTGTGTGTAAAAATAATCTTACATATATGAGAGTATTTCCTCTACTCAAGTTATTATAGTAACAAGATACTTTGGTCAGAGGCATACAGACTATAAGAATTCTATGGTCTTAACATATTTTTGAATGACATTTATTTTCATGTTATTAAAGTTTTGTGTAGAGAGGAGTTTAAAGCAATTTCCATGATTAAATATGTACTAGGCAACTGAAAACTAATCACTATTGAACACTTGTGGCTAAGTATACATATGGCCAAATGGTAACTAAGTAATATCATTACCACGTTAATTACCTTCCTAATTAAACCTTTGCTTTCTAGTGATAGGGGTTTCAGTTGCTAAATATATGTATTTGCAGTTTGAATTCAGATGATTGTCTGCTTAATTTTGTTGTTGTGGGCCGGCCTGTTGCTCACTCAGTAGAGTGCAGTGCTGATAACACCAAGGCCACGGGTTCGGATCCCATATAGGGATGGCCGGTTCACTCACTGCCTGAGCGTGGTGCTGACACCACCAAGTCAAGGGTTAAGATCCCCTTACCAGTCATCTTTTAGGGAAAAAAAAAAAATTTGTTGTTGTGTGTAAGAATTCCTGTAATCAGTGAGTTTGATTTGTAGAGGGGAAAAAAAAAAAAATTTGTTGTTGTGTGTAAGAATTCCTGTAATCAGTGAGTTTGATTTGTAGAAACGTTGTATAGTTTGGGTGTTAGTTTTTCAAGGCCTAAAAATATGACCGGATTTAAAGAATTTGCATTATCAAGAATATTGCAGTTCAGACTGGTGTCTATTAATTTTTTCTCCCTTATCTTAGAAGAAACAACATAATGTGCCTCAGCAGGTTGATTTGTAGACTCTAACACCTCAAAAAGAGGAGTTATTTGATATCTGGCAAGAATATTTTAGAGGTACATATTCTTTTGTAAAATGTTATCACCATGGGTTTAGCAAATCATCCCAAAAACATGCTCAAGGAAGCAATGCTTGTTTTCAGCAAGGATATCTCCTCCACTTTGATGGACAGCTATGCTGTTAGAGATTTAGACTAAATATCCAAGGTCCCTTCCTAGCTCAAAGTTTTAACTGTGATTACATACATTGTATTGAATTCTATCTTGATAGAGGGAAAGATTTGGGCTTAATATTTAAATAGCAAGAGCCTAGTATGCAATGCTCCTCATTTTAATGTAGACTCAGATGAACTGATTAATATTACATGATGATAGTAGTGTCCTTGAGATAATGGATGTAGGTGCTTCTAGAATATGTTGAGGAATATTAAAGTTATTAACCTACTGAAAAAAATGGATCTTGACCTCTTCAGGTACCAAAATGAAATTATTATTGTTGAAAAAATGCTGTGCCAGTATTATAACTGACCTCCTCCACACTTTGACTGAGATTTAATAATAAATTAAGACTAAGTGTAAAAATGTTCAGAAACATTTATGCTTTGATGTGAATTTCTCGTATTTTTAGTTATAACACAGTTGAATACTGGGTGATTGCTGGTGTGTTTAACTTAGGGAAACTGATTAAACAATTCCTCAAATGGATCCACCATCATTTTAATAGTGAAGATGTTTTTTGTAGAGTCTTAAGAGTCTGAGGCTTAAAAAATTTTTTTTTAATTAAGTACTATGTTCAGCTTCTTTTCCTTTTGCCATTGTGGAAAGCAAAATTTTAAACTATTTCTTACCTTCTATGAGAATTTTCTAAAACACCCACAGGTTAAACCATCTTTCTTCTGAGAGGAGTAGTAAAATGAATAAAACTGGTATTTTAAATTGGGTTAAGTAGAATGTGATGTACACTTCAGATTTACTAGTTTTGAGGTGAATCAAATTCACTGCTGTATTTAAAAACATGGGTTACAATAGGTACTCAATAAACTGGTTTATAGTAGAATGTCTAAGCTAGCATTCTCTGTTTTAAAAAGTAATTTATTAATAACAGATTGATGGTACACCTTGTATTTAGCAAACGTTTGCATGTTGATAAAATTTCCTTACTCTTTTCTATTAAATCCAGTTACTCATCTTGTACAATACAATTCTAATACAGCATTAAGGAAAAAAAAAAAAACCTGTTAGGTGTATGTTTCAACTGGTGGCAAACATACTCAACAAAATCTTACATCATGCAGTATTTTTTTTAAGAGCTTCAGTGATATGGTTGGTAGATATCGCAAGTCTTTTCTGTCTTTTACACAATGGTGCTCTATCCTATTGTTTTCTCTTTTCAAGGAAGCATCTGAACACTTGCATTTGCATTTTCTTATCCAAAGGCATCCACATCTTTTTTTTTTTTTTAACACACTTGACTAAAATATTTTTCTGTTAAAGCATTCTGAAAATGTCTTCAACTGCAGTGGTTTCTACACACTTGTGGCCAATTGACTATGAATGTCATATGTCAATTAGGGGAAAGGTAAACATGCTAGATTAAAGCTCTTATAAAAGCTTTCAACCATACAAACTATGGACTTGTTCCTTGACTTAACAGTATTTGTGGATCTTTCTTAGTGATTCATTCTTTTACTTGTATAGTAGCTTTGTGAAATAATGTTGCTGTGAATCGATATTGTAATCAATAAAATGCTTTTAAACAGATTTCATTGTTGCATGTTTTAAGTGAATTTTTAGTAGGATTTACTTTTAAAATCAAGTCTGAGAACTGAAATCCAAGATCACCTTCATGCTCAGCCCCAATTCCTTTATCTAAACATTTTTTTTTTTCCCACGAAAAATGAATGGGCTGCAGGAGCAAGGAAGAGATTGGAGTGTTACTGACCTACTCTTTAGTACTGTAAACTTCCAGTTTACTGATAAAAGGCCACACATTTCCATTAAAAAGCAAAAGCCATTCTTCCCCTGTAGCTCCCTTAGGATAATTTAGTTCCCAGTTCTGCTTATGGTATTGATAAGAAATGCTTATTTCGTCTCATCACCACAACCTTGGGGAAAGAAGAATGAGGAAATTAAAGATGTTACATAATCTTAAATTTACTTCAAAATAATGTGGGAGATGGGGATAAAAATAACATTGGCCATAAATTTGTAATTCTTGAAGCTGCATGAATCGTCATAGAGGTTTATTACGCTTTCTTGGCTACTTTTGTCTGTTTAATATTTTTCCATAATAAAGTTTTGGGTTTTTGTTTTAAAGATGTGTCTATGTAAGGGCACATAGCACCATGAGTTGAAGCACAGGGTCCCCTATGACACTTTGGATATTCTGTTTGTCCAGGGAAGAGTACTAGAGAAGTACCTGTAAACTGCATATTTAAGGTGGAAAACCTCTAAAGTGGAAAACGTGCTCCCCCAGTTGTGGTCTATGACATCTTATGCTAAGGACTGATGTATGTAACTTTTACCTACCCTTTCTACACTTGGCCAGGAGAACTAAACAGTAATGTGATCATAAGAGCCAGTCTGCTCAAGATAGTTTATATGCCGACGGTAAAAATGAGAATGGAAGATTAAAACTCACTAAATACTAGTATAAAGGCTACATTTAACTACTAGGCAGATAGGTTTGTTTTATTTTCACCTTGCAAGCTTGCATAATTATAAAAAATGTTTTGTAAAAAGTTTAGGATTATACAAAGTTTATAAATAATCCTGCAAACATACATAGTAAACAATCAAGTATATGTGCAATAACTTTGAACTACATCAGTTGTAATTACATGATCTCTATGTAATTAATTCATGGGCTTGATCATAGGTGCACTTATCTCTAGGTGTGTTGGGTTTCCTTATTTTAGTGTTCCATTCATCTGTTTTCGTATGTGACCAGATGGGACTCCATTCAAACTAGTGATGGAAAACTTTACACCAGAACCACTAAATACCGGTGGTTCCTAAACTTTGGGACCAAACTTCAAGGACCACTCTTGGTGATACCAAACCACTATGCAATTTCAGAAGTTAGAGCACTTTCATATAAAGGGTAAGGCCTTGAAATTGTAACCTAAATTAGCAGTACCCAGTCTTAGACATCAGTATTTCATTTTGTAGTTATCACCGACTCTTACTTGTTGGTGGCCTGTACCAGTTTTTGGGTTATCAATCAGCAATAAAAGCTAAAAACTAATACTCATTTGAATTTATTTGAATACTGCATCCTACTATCTAATTTGCATAAAAAAGTAAATATTTTTGAA